AGGATGCGAAAGGACCGCTCAAAAAGCGTTTTTTAGCATTCTTATCATTCACACTTGCTGCTGGGCGCCCTACACGTGTATGGCATTGGTTCAAACGATGACCGGGGGAAAATTGTTTTACCTGGGGAATGTCCCAGTGCATTTTATCGCTTTGGTGGTTGGACTGACTGGAACGACGCTGAAGGGAGTTGTGGCATGCTTCGAGGTGCCGCATATAAAAGGATTGATCAAGAAACAATTTGGATGCGCCGAGCGCGAGGAACGTGAAGGAAATGCTTCCGAGGAAGCCTAAGTAAATATGTATTATGTGTACACTTTCCTGTGGGTTAAGAACGTAATTCGCAAAAACCTCAACTTGGCTTTACTTACCAGATGAAAAATTAGAATTTCGTAAAATACATTCAATGCGACTAAGATGTAAAAAAGTGTCTTCTAAAGCGTAGAATTTTCTGGCAAAATCGTCACTGGATTGAACGAATTACAGCTTTTTATGTCCATAATTCAAATTATAGCCTACGGTATGTGGTTTGCTATGCATAAACATATTCAACCGAATAACAAGCTCCCTGGTAAGACACAGCAGATGTGAAAAAAATAGGAACATTAACTTTAAATTACATGAAAGTGTATATTTTATCGTAGTTATCGTATTTGCCTAAACGTAAACTTCATTCATAGTATTTATATCGGCGGACATCTGCGAACTGGCATTTTAAATTACAAAAGCCGAAGCTTAATTTTGTGTCACTGTTTCACACGTACTAATTTGCGCTTAGCAGGAATTTTAAATTTTATATAGCTGATTATGTGTCAGGTTTTAGAACTGTTCAATTTTTTCACGGAAATCGCAGACATACAACTGTGTAGTTATTTAATTTCAGCTTATCAATTCAATAATTGAAGACTGGTTAAATTGGCTCCAAATAGAAGTTGCCCGAATTATTTTTTTTGAGCAATTTATTTACATGCTAGTATGTGCCACAAAACAAAGCGAGCCACATAAATATTTATGTCAAAGAAACAGGCGATTCGCAAACTAGATTTGCAAGGGGTGTGGTTTTTTCTCTATTCTTCCCGCCCGAAAAAGACAAGAAACATTCATGAAAACAAAGAAACTATTCAAAACGAATAGAAAATTGTGGTTAATGTTTAACCGATAAACACAAGAAGAGAGATAGCCTTCGGTAAAGTTGGAATGCAATCTAATTGCGCCTCAAACAAGCGGCCACCTGCTGTAATAAAATATAACGACAAAGCGTGAATATGGTGCTATAACCTGAATCGTATTTTGATACATGCTAACTAATGTTTGTGTCAGTGTGTTATTTCAGTGAACCTGACAACAAATAAGCTAATACATTGTAAAAATACAATTTTGACTCTTTATTTCTATAGATATCGTTTATTTATTTGTCTTTAGCCGGAAAGATTCTTGTGACGAATTTGTCTGAAACCAGTAGCGATGTCGTTCACCGAACAAATGTTAGTGTAATTGATTTTAACCGTGTCTTAAGTTTCTAAGTATGCTTTCAGTATCAGAATATAAAATGGAAACATCGACCACGCAGTCTTTAATTGATGATTTCAATTGTCGGTTACTTTTCTGGTTTTCTCCAGTAATCACTGCGTGAAAATAGAGATTAACGGAAAATTAAAGTTGACTTACATGTAAATCTCCTAAAAATTGGTCAGGCTAGCTATACGCTAGTTTCTCAACTGATGAGAAATTTATAGCAGCTTGCAAAGCGCTAGCTATATAGCTTTACACGGCAGTAACGTTGGCCGCATAACAGAAATTCCACGTTTTTTCTTCGATATTTCTAAACAATTTTTAGTGCCAACGTTGTAAAACCCTTCTGTGCACAGGTGTCGTTGGAAGAGGGCACAAAAAAATAATTGTTTGCACCTTTGATAACAGTTTGCTCAACGGGGGATAACCCAAGTATTAGGTTCGTATTCCAAAATCAACGGGGGTTTCTCTACTGTGTAAGTATTCCGCCCCAATACCCCCAGGGGGTTAAGGCGAAAAGTGAAGTGATAAGTATTCTATGCCAAATATTCTCTCTCGGTGTGACAGTTGCTACAAGTTCTTTGAACATATCAGTTCGAAACAGGAACCCGTTTCTCGAAGGTCCCAAAAAGTTTTCGCCACAGAAAAGCCATAGCAAATCAGTCACAAACGTTATTGTTACAGAGCTGTTTTATTCACATGTTCTTAATATGAACAGAGGTTCCCTTCATACAAGCAGTTTTAGGCGTATCATGACTTCTCCGTTTCTAGATGCAGATGAGCTAAAAATGGCTGTGCGAGCCCGAAAAGTTTACGGGACTTTCGAGAAACGAGCCCCTGGTCTCTGTCAAGGGATCGTAAAATTATCTTATAAAATCTTGATGTTAAATTGATTTGCTCGTAATTGCTCCCCAAACAGCCCGACGTAAATCCGAATTATGACTGAAGTAGAGACACTAGTATCAAAGTAGAGTTAAAACAAATCGGAATAGCAGAAGTTTGTAAACCGTATTAAAGCAAAATGAAAATTGTATTTTTGAATCATTTTCTCACGTGCTGGTTTATACTAAATTGGATTAGAACTAGTTGTAAAATTGATTTGACGGTTTGTATGCTTAGCCATATATAAATTCGAATTGCTGAGTCAAAAGTGGATCTCCCAACTTCTAAGAAAATAAAACCTGCAGATGGCGAATGTAAACTTTGAGGGACAAAGAACTCAAAAACAGGTTACTAAGCATTAACCCCTAGGTGCCTTTTAATTTTCTATCAGCACTCTTCAAAGAGTGCTGATTCGTCCACAAAAGATTTCACATAAGAACACTCCATGACTGGCAACTCAGGTGTCGATATTTATCAGGCTGACATAACGGTTTGCACGGGTTATTTGAGAAATGGCTCGTTATTAAACATGGTATCACTAAACATTTCAAGGAAAAACCATCAACGCAGAATTTGCTATGCAGGCCGATTTTATTTTGCTGTCATGTCTATCAGCTTCTATCGTCGCTGAGAAGACAGGATATACTTGGAGATACTTCTACAAAGAATTCTCAGTGACTTCCTCGACCGCGAACAGTTGGAAATCCGCGTCATTACAAACCACAAAACACACAGTTACACGTAGCATCAGCCACATACAGCCACTAAAACAAAAATCACTTTGTGTGTTTTCACTGGCACCAGAATCTATCGTTAGAAATGCCCCCCTCCCCTCCCCAGGGATGATGCCGAATAAAACCAATATTTTCCTTGTGTCTAAAATTAGAGCGTGAAGCCTGTAAGTATTATGTTTTTTATGTGAATTTTATCAAATTTTTGTCAATTCTCAATCAGATCTAGCACGCACATTTTAAGAAGCAGGAAGATTTGTCACTCCATGTCGGTAGGTCACGATGAACTGTGGGGTGAATCAGCATCTTTATGCACAGGTTAGCATTGCAGCATAAGAAGTTTTCTTAAACCCATACAGACGAGTTAGTTTTTATATATAGAAAGCACTGTCGATATAATTTGTTTGAAGTCATTTTCTTGCAATGCAATTATTTTCCCGGGGTGTACCCCCAGAAAAGTTGGGTGGGGATGTGCGGCCCGCCTCCCAAACCCTTACCCTATTTATGACCAAAGTCTGCGATTTTCGCTACCCTGTTCATGACCTAACCAAAAATTGTATACGCTTCTTATGACCGTTGCGGCTGACACAGTTGCCCTAAACTTAATTCATGAAGGGCTTTTGTTGATGGTCTTATCGATCAGTTGTTAAAGTGGCTGTAACGTTGAATAACTTTTATTGAACTCCTCGAAGACATCTTGATAGCAGCCAAGATCGGAGGCAACTGACACACGCATAGATTACAGACGACTTAAATATGTACAATCGGGTACATACCACGCAGAGTATTCGCACGCACCGAATGTTAAATAACCATGCTAATAAATATCGACACAGTAGCTTCTTCTAAGAAACATACCCAATTCAAGACTGGAGTACAAAAACCGTACCCTATTTGAGACCAAAATGGCTGAAAAACCGTACCCTTTGTTAGGGCTTGCCACAAGTTGCTTGGCAACTTTTTGGCAACTTTTCGTATTTCGAGCAACTTTTTTTGTTTCACGCAACTTTTTGCATTCTGAGCAATTTCTAGTTTTCTAGATATCGGAGCAGCTTTTAGTACTTTAATTGGCCATATTTCCACATTTTACAATGTTCCAGTAAACAATTTGTGAATTTCTTCAAGTGTTTTAAATTTCTTTTAAATTTTTTTTAAAATTAGATTAAATTTTTTTTAAAAAATTTTTAAAAATTTACTACCCTTTGTGGCTACACATACCTATATAGCTAATATAAGGGAGTACCCCCGCCCCCGAGGGAGATTTTCCTTCACAAAATCAGGGCTGACGCCCGACTACAGGTGGTCCTGGTGTATGTGGTTGCTCTTACTCACTAACTTGAGTCCGTCGAACCTTACATGAAGGAAAGCGCGGGAGAGCGATAGGCTGCGTGCCGTTTATCCCTATGTAAGACTATTACCTCAAGTTTTGTCTGTTACCATACTCGAGTATAATCAAATCGAACTCCCCGGCCAAACGACCTAAACTCTCTGTCATTGTGTAGCCTTTGTAGCTATTTCTGAAGCTGCTAGGTGCGAAGGCCTGGAATAGAGTGCAATGCCAGGCTACTCAGCCCAGCCCTGGATTCCTAGCGATCCGCCCCGCACACCGGTCTTCCTCTTTAGTAACACACATGGCGCCCAAGGACAAGGGTAAGAAAGTAGATGGATTATACGAGATTTTACAACTCAAGACTGTTCAAATTGTCTATGTTATCGCCTTGTGCTGTGCGATAATTAAATAAAGGTGCTTTTATAGTCGTAGGAAATTATAACGGCGAGGAAAGAACGCGTCTAAAGAAGCTATTCGTGTTCACTGTTGTTTTCCACGTGTGGGATAATAAAGCGACAGTAGATTTTAAGTGGTCTACGATTATAAACCTTTGTAAGCGCTTGCAAGCGGTGGACTCGACGAATTTCTCGTGATCTGTGTTATCTAAAGCCAGTGACCTGATCTAAAAATGCTCTTTGCCTTATGTTTACGAATAATAACAGCATCGAGTAATTAGCTTTCTGCTCATAAACGTACAAAGTGATCTTGAGATATTTCGCTTAGAGCGTGGTTTCTACTTCATATCCTTGGTTAAGCTGCAAAAATTAATTCCCCTTAAACTGGTTTGTTGTTGGTTATGAGAACAACGTGGTGTGTTAGAATTACACGTCAGCTAATTTGCAGAAATATTGCCATAGTTTCCTGAATTTTTTTTCCTTTCTTGTCTTGTTCTAGGAAAGACGAAAGCTGGTGCCTCTGCCAAATCCAGCGAGACTTCTAAAGCCCAGAAGGCTAAAAAGTCTGTGCTGAAGGGTGTTCAGAGAACGCCAAAAAGGAAAGTGCGTACAAATGTCCATTTTTATCGCCCTAAAACTCTCAGCCTCCGAAGAACCCCTAAGTACCCAAGGCATTCTGCTCCAAGGACCAATAAACTTGACCACTATGCCATCATCAAGCATCCTTTGACCACGGAGTCAGCGATGAAGAAAATTGAAGACAATAACACTCTTGTGTTCATTGTCGATGTGCGAGCTAACAAGCCCCAAATCAAGGCATCTGTGAAGAAGTTGTATGACATTGATGCCTCGAAAGTCAACACCCTCATCAGGTACATCTTATGAATTAAAGGGGAAGGTCACTCCAAAAAAAAACATTTTTTTGTCGACAGAAATAAAAATCTCACAGAAAGTTTAGCTACTCACCGAAGTATGCAGGTTTTTGGTATGAAATTTGTCTCCAAAGAAGCCCAAAATTTGACATCATTGCCATCTTTAGTTTTTGTACATATTTGCTCAGCAGCCAGGTCATGTTTTCGTGATGTCATTCCATCTAAGGGATTTTGTTAATGGCTTCCGACAACCTTTTAACTAGAACTCAAGGTTATGGCTGTTCTTGAGCAATATAATGTCAAGCCAAACATGCTCCAAACCCCAAAATGATAGCAGTGAAGATTGTGAAGTGGATAATCGGTTGGAAAAATAAATTTTGCTGACCTTGTGAGGGATGCCAAGTCAGTTGCAGCTTTTTTGCTTCCCACCAATTTTTAGTTGGATGAAGTGATATCACATATCAATATTCTAACATGGCTCAGAAGCTTTCAGGTCAAAATTGTAAATTTTCAAAGTTCCTTTTGTCTCCTAATTCCCAAAAGAGACTTGGATACAAAGAAAACAACACCAAAGATAGAAGTTTGTCTTGAAAGCCTCAGAGCCATGTTAAAATATTTATATATTGAACATGGCCTATTAAAGTGTATATGACACGAAAAATATATTTTGCTTATTTGAAAGGCCCTTCATAATACGGAAGAATGATGTTTTTCTTTTTGAAATATCTTTTTTCGTTTTACAAATATTGACGTTTTTCTATTATGCAAATTAGATCAGTGATGACGTCATATTGTTTGCAACTAAAAATGGTAAAATACTGAATAAACGATATCTCTAGGAATATTGAAGCAGTGTTCTTGAAACTTGGTTCCCCAAATGTATATCACAAAAGAAACAAAGTGACACCCTTAGTGATGTTGCCATAACAACTCTTTCGGCTCCAGTCTCTTTCTGTCAGAAAAATAAACATCACCATTTGCAACCTCGAAAGTGAGCCAAAGGGTTCTACTTGGAACAGACATAGTTCCCATATTGTCTTAACACCCATCATTAGATTGGGTGGGGTAGATGGTTCTTGGTTTAAGTCAAAAACTGGGAATTTCAGTTTTTATTAAGACAGCTCCAGCGGCGAAACTGTTGTCATGGCAACAGCACTAAGGGTGTCATTTTGTTTCTTTTGTGATGTACATCTGTGGTGCCAAGTTTCAAGAACACTTCAATATTTCTAGAGATATTGTTTATTCAGTATTTTACCATTTTTAGTTGCAAACAATATGATGTCATCACTGATCTAATTTGCATAATAGAAAAACGTCAATATCTCTAAAACAAAAAAAGATATTTCAAAGAGAAAAACGCCATTCTGTATTTTCGAAAGGTCTTTCAAATAAGCAAAAAATATTTCTCATGTCATATGCACTTTAAGCATTTACATTGCAAGTGCAATTTAAAATTTTCTCAAATTTCAAAGAATGTAGGGTGCAAAACAAGTTTAAATTTATTTTTGATGATATTTGTATGGGGGTAAACAGGTTGTTTATGGCTATTTTAAGTCCTCTGTCCATCATCCACCATGCAAAACATGGTTCAATTATTAATTAGTAGGAAAGTTTTAAAAAATGTTGGATATTAAAATCTGTTTTTACTAAATTTAGTATGTATTGCATTACTGTATGAGTGAAATTATATGGGATCACTGAGAATATTTCTGGTGTGTTGATCTGCTTTGCATCAAGACTATTGACTGCAAGTTATGTATGCATTGATTGTTTGACTCCACAGATAATTACATTGAAACCCTGCATGTGGTGTGTGGCTTTTTGTCTCACTCGCTTTCTTATATTTTAAAATTATGAAAACATGACATATCTTGGAAACTACACAGTATTTTTTTTGGTTTCATGCCTGGGCCCAGGTGCTCAATTATGGATGGATGATGCTATCCACTGGATAAATCACTATCCAGATTTAGAAGTTTGTTTTGTCAACACTCTTCCACTGGCAAACAGTGATATCTACCCCTTTCAAAGACTGGGACCTGCTCTGTTCAGATTGGCAGTGTGCTAACTAGTTGTTTTATCCTTCAGACCTGATGGACAGAAGAAAGCCTATGTGAGGTTGGCTCCAGACTATGATGCTCTGGATGTTGCTAACAAGGTTTGTGTTGCAAGACAAGAGCTTGGTTTATACTTCACTGGAAATATTTTGTGATCTTGCTTAATTTTGCAGAACTGTTTAGTAGTTTTGGTTTAACTCGTTCAATTACCGTACAAATTAGAGTATAATACACTGGGAAAAAATGGCTGAAAACTTTGAAAGATTTGTACATTTCAATGTTGTTTTCACAGTTTTTTTGAATGAAATAAGACCCTTGTTGACCTTTACCAGTTGTTCATTGAAAGACTTCTCGCTGAGACAAATTGGCATAGGTTTGATGTTTTGATTGTGGATATTATATGCACTTCTTAATGTAGTTTCATTTTTATTTTTGCAGATTGGAATCATCTAAGTTAGTCAGGAACAGATGCAGCAATAAAATTTGATTATTAACAAAATGCTTGTCTGCATTTATCTTCCCTCCTTTGACTTGTTGCGAAACCTTCCAAAAGAAAATGTGCTTGATTTCCTCCAAACAGGACATTTTAGTGAAACTCATTTTCATATCATTAGAAGGTTTTGCAGCAGGACTTTCTTTCTGAGTGGTGAAATCAAAAGTGGTGTAAAAAATTCTGTGTGGCCTCTTTAACATGCATGAAGTCAGACTACAGTAGCTAGAAACTGTGAGACATGTAATGTTAACAGTTACAAAATTGTGTCAGTCAGTCCGTCATCCAATTCCTGTAAAATTACAATTGGGTCCAGGAGGAACCTGTGCTACACTGGGTACAAAAGGACTATTCCCAGGAGTTACCATGTTTAAACCAAAAATGGTTGGGAATGTGTCCTACTGAGAAATGTCAACTGTATCAACCCAAACCAGCTGTGGTTGAAATAGTTGATCTGAATAGAACACAACCTTACTTATCTAATACAGTAGCCCAAGATGCCAGGGAAAGGGTACAAAGGCTACAACGAAAAGAAAACACGACAGAGGAAAGTTTGTGAAAGGGTCACGTCACTATGAGAACAGCACAGAGGGAACAGAGTACTCAATTCTTTCAAACAGCCTGAGTATTGGAAACCCTTTCCAAAAATGGCTTCTTTGATTCAGAAAAAAAAAGTCTGAATAGTGCAAGAACATAGTTGACCCATAACACCAAAAATCCCTCCTTCAACAGAAACAAACTGTACTGAGAAACTCTATTGACAGCGGGCACACAGAGGCCAACCAAAAATCTGAGACTGCGGGCACAAAAAGACAAAGTCAGCCATATTGAGCTGGAACTATGGTGCCTAAAGAAGAGCAGTAAAACTGCCCAAAACGTGGCATTTTCAAAAACATTTAACCTCATAAAAGTCCTGTTAATACATGACTGACTTTATTTATTTCATATGTAAACATGATGGGTTCAGAAAGTTTCAGTGAAACTATGGTAAATTTTTTTTCACAAGATGCCTGAATAAATATTTAATTGTAAAGGTGATGAACATAAAAACTGATCAGCCTAAGTCGGCAGATTGACCAAAATTTCCCACAAAATAGCCAAGTCCCTAAATTGGTTCCTGTCTAATCCATTGTCACTTTGTGGTCAGAAAAGACACATTTCGAAATAAGTAATTCACCTCATTAGAAGCTCGTATGCTGTGTGCAATATTATTGGGATCAACCATTTTCAGTTGACTGGGCTTTTTTGAGCTGAGTAAAGTGGGAAAAAATGTTTGGTTCATTTCATGTATCAACTTTTTTACATTATTAATTAACAGCCATATTCCCTATTTTCCAATTGCACAGAATACACTCTGTTTGCCCCCTCCCCACCCCCCCCCCCCCCNCCAGCCTTCAGTCTTGGGGTTATTTTTTTCCCTACCGTGAGATCCCAATCATTCTCTATTGCCCCATAATTCACTCTGTTTGCCTCCCAAATTTTGCATAAACTATTGTTATGAAATGCTTGTGGGATGTCTGCATATTCCCAAGAACATTTCCCAACAACAGTTTATGCAAAATTTTGGGGGTAAACAGAGTGAATTATGGGCAATAATTGGAAAGTAGAGAATACCTGGCTGAAGGTTTCTGGCATAACAATTTCCAAACCATCTAGGGTTCAACATTGATCAAATATTCTGAATATTCTTCTTAACAAACTGAAGTGGAAATGGTTTGTCACACCAAAACACTAAAGTCTCATTCAACCCAAGCAACCAAAACCTTTGATCCCACTAGAACACAGTGTAAACAGCTATCAGCTATCTGAACCAAGAACAGTTGATCCTGTTGATTAGATGTTTTCATGATCAGGTGCCACACTTCAACAAATTTTAAAAACCAGTTGTACTTGGGGCCAGTGGTGATATAATTTGTTCTCAACAGAACTCAACTTGGCTTCTAACGCTAGATTTAACACATAGTTGAACACAAGGTTGGATTCAAAGGGCTTATTGGATGAAACAAATTAAAGAGAGTTGTTTAATTCTAAAAACACAGACTTTTTAGATTTTTTAGATTTTCGTTCTTTGTAAAATATTATGGCAGGTCCACACCAGCCTTAAGGTTGCTCTATTCAGACCTGCCTTATCAAGAAGTATATATAAGTATATAACCATGCATGGGAGGTAGCAAAAGAAATACAACTTATTCAAATAATATAATACTGAAGGATATACTCCATTACATCTGCCATTTTCACATTTTCCAATATTGCTTTTGTGTCCAGTATGCAAGAGCTGCAGAAACTGAGTCTGTGTTTAAAACAAGATGACCAAGAAATTTTCATGTCAAAGACTTCAAGTGAACAAGCGGGCAATAGTAATATTTAAGTTGTTGCAATATTTATATCACACGCCAGGCCTCCTAGAAAAAACTAACCAATTAAAACTGAGAATAATAGGCTGGAATTTTTTCATGAAGGTGTAAGTAGGGGTCTGTTTGATATGAATACATAAACAAGAGTGACTCCTGTGTGTTACATACAATCTATAGATTCAGTCCTTAATTGCAAATTGTCACATTATCATTAAGCCCTGGCCAAACAACATTGCAATAATTATATGTTATGTTGAAATGTTGTGATTCACTTGGAAACATTAGCCTTTAACTCATTTTGCAACAACCCAAAAGTATTGAAAAGTGTACAGAACTAACCAGTCAACCAAATGGCAACTAATGTTTCCTGAAAGGTCTGCAACACTTCACACTTAAGTTAGGTTTCCAATTTTGTTGTAGAACAATACTGTTCGTATTCAATGTTATTGGCTTATTTAAATGAAAAGATCTCTATCCTTTTTTCTCAACATTCTGATTGGTTAGCTCTTTTTCAAGTGGCCCGGTTCGAGTAGTTGCACTGTAAAGGAATAATGAACTAAGAAATCTAAAATATTGGAAAAATATTGGTCGGGTTCTTGTTTTGCAAGTTATGGACCAAGCCAACCACAACATCAATATGCATGACTAATGTTTTCCCAGTAATGACCAATTTATTAATAGCTCCTTTACAAGTGTGCTAAATAAGATGCCACTACAGTTAAAACCTGCTAGCGAAACGAAAAAAATTTTGAGCTGTCGGGGCTTCAAGGTAGCTGTTAGGAAGTGACTGAAAAAGTATATCCAAGGGAAAATGATTTGAGTTTGAGCAGAGAATTTGAGATAACCGAGCTAGAGATAACGAGGTTCTATGTGTTAAACTATGGCAAAACCTATTCTTTTGTGCTGTGTTCCAAGACAGCAAATTGGGAGAACTACATGTTACTCATCATCACGAGCAATAAAACATTTTGCGCATTATGCAAAATTCAAATACCCAGGAAACCAATTGGATAGTCCCTTTAGAAATATAACAACTCAATTTACCAAATACTAAATGGGCAAATGTTAGCACTACAGATTCCTTGCTTTCTGGGTACAGCTTATAATGAAATTTCAGTTTGTTTTGCAAGTCTAAGTTACTTCACAACTAACACTTTGCTCAGCTAAGGAAGTTTAAGGAAAGGTATGGGAAAGAGAAGAGATAGTCCTCACCATCACAATGTTTAGAAAGGTCCATTTACATATCAGGGTACCCTGTGAAAAACTAACACCTGCTTTCTGCTCCATCCCCCTTCCACCCCAGGGGTCCATGTGTTACATAACTGCTGAGTAGAATAAGTTGAGTAACTTGAAGCCAAAGCAAGCATTTTAACTTTCTAAGCACTTTGTTCTTTCCAATGTTTGCCTGATGTACAAATGCCTTTGTTAACTGGTTGAAACCCTTGGGATTTCTAACATTAAGAGCAGCCCACATTAAAATTGCAACGTCACTTATCTAAACAAATACTACAATTAGAAAAACAAATTTAACATTTCTATTTTCGAAATGAAAAATATCATTTTTTTCGAAAGTCCCTTTTCAAATAAACGTTTAGGAACCACTTAAGTAAACATAATCTTCTTCTGTAAATACTTTCAGTACATGTGGTTCGAATATCTTGGCTGCAAGCAAAACAGATAAAACGTCAAACACCTTTACTCTAGTTGTTCTATTTCTGCGAACTCATTTTCAAGTTTGTGTTTCTTTTCTCGCTCAGCTTCTATTTCTGCCACAATTTCATCAACTCGTCGAAGAGAAGTTTGCTCCAGCCTTTCGGTCTCCTCGCATGCCTCAATCTTCTTTTTTAACTCTTCTTGCAGTATTTTAATTTTCTGTTCGTTGTCGTTTTCTCTCTCACTAGCCAACACGTCATCTTGCTCAAGTTTGCGCAGATTTTCTCCCGCGGTGCGGATCATCTGTTCCAATTCAGGGATTCGCTTCACGGCTCGATCTCTACGATCTTCTGAGCGGTGCAGATCGTTTTCGAGAACAGTGAGTTTCCTTTGCGCATCGTTCAATTTCATGAGGGAGTTTTCAGCAGCCGACTGAGCGTCTTGTACTTGAACCTCGATCGATCGCAGATGTTCATCAGTCTCTACCTCAGCGTAAGTAAGTTCTCTTCCTTTATCAGCCTCGGCCTCGGCTTTTTCTGTTAGTTCGTTCAGCCTCTTTTGTTTCTCGTCTGTTTCAGCAGTGGCCTCTTTGACTTTTGATCGCAAAAACTGGATGCGCCTCCTGTAGCTAGCAGCTTCGTCTTCCTTGGTAGAGATGGTTTCTTTCAGCATTTTCAGCTCACTCTTCGCATCGATTTCTCTCTCCCGAGCTTCTTCGGCCTTCTCTTTCGTTGCAATCATTTTTTTCTTTATGCCCTCAATTGTAGATGCCATGGTTATAGCAGAATTTCGTGTCCAACTTCCAAAATACAATATTATCAAACACACCCTTCAGGAAGGTTCGCTTTCACTGATATAATGACCGCGCATGTGATAGCCACTCTCGCCACTGGCAACCTTGCGGATTCACCTGCCGTAGTCCTCTCTCACACTTTGTGGAATCTCGGTTTTAACAAAGCGGAAATATCCCTTAGCACTGTTTGCACAATATCTTATCTACTCAGTCAGTCTATATTTTGTTTGGCAAAACTTTTGTGTTCTATTTTTGAAAGGAATGAAACTCGAAATTTCACCTGAAAGGACAGAGAAAATGTGGGAGTCTGGTGCCTAGTGTATACACAAGCCAAATCTGATTGGCTAACATTTTTAGGAGGCGAAATTCGAACAGGTCAATGATCAGGTGATCATTCACGTTGATGTTTTGAATGTTCTTCAAATTTTATAACAGTTTTTCCAGGTAGAGTCAAGGCGATTTACAATATATTTAACAGAATTGCACCAAGGGCAAGGAAGCCTGCTCTTAGAATTCTAATTCTGACCTACGAAAGCAAGCGATTTCAAAATGGGAAAGAAGAGAAAACGCGGACAAACGAAGCAAAACTGGAGTTCTACAAATTCACGGAAACAGAAAAAGAGAAGAAAAACTCGGGGTTATGGGTTTAAGACAAAAGTACCAAAAGAAGTTCAAGAATCGCGGGTCAAGTTGTCAAACACAACGGATCGCGACATGCTCGAGTTAAAACCGTGTGAAAAGTCTAGCCCTACAAGCAGTGACTGCAATTTTACCTCTTTGAGTAACGTGAGGTTGCATGTCTGTGGAATAAGCGCCATTTTTTCTCGTCTGATCACTTGTGCAGACTTGTTTCGGCGCTCCACCGTGGGGTGCTTTAGATCAACAAGGAACGTGTTCCTTCTCCTGAACTGGCTTAAACAAGTCTTTGGTTGTGGACTGCAAACACTTGGAAAGGTTAGTTGAAAGTAAACATGCAATCTTTCTGTAAGCTGTTATAAGTTAAAGAACTTAAACTTAAGCTATATTTTATGTGAAGCACAGCTCATAGCCACTTCAGACACTTCACTTCCGGATCCTGTTGTCCAATTCTGACAATTCTGAACATTGTTTGTTATCACTGTTTATATAACAGTTTCTACTAGCAGAGAAAGATCAACTGACTTCAACCGACAGAACCCACTATGAAGAAATGATGAAAAGAGTGGGACATTTAGAGGAAGAAGTAAAATCACTGAAATCTGAACTCTTCAAGGTACACCTAACCAATATCAATGAAATATTGTAATTTCGATAAAGTAAATAACCTTATTTTCCGTATGTGTGGCCCCAAAGGGTACGTGTATGCTTTTTTAGCCATTTGGATCTGAAATCGGGGTACAATTTTGGCCATTTTGGTTTTAAATAGAATATGGTTTATTCACTCTATTCTTGAATTGGATACGTTTTTAGATGAAGCTACGTTTTCAAAATTATCGATAAGACCGTTAACAAAAGCCTTTCACAATGTCTTTCACATCGGTCTGAACTAGGGAACTAATTTTGGCAGGTCTCAAAGAGGGTATTGATTTAAGGGTCAGGTCTCAAATAGAGTATCGATTTTTTGGTCAGGTCATAAATAAGGTGTTTAGAATCTGAACAAATAAACTGCAACACATGAACCCTATACATAATCTGACTTTGCTCTGTTTTTTTTATAGAAGACAACCTGTTCATGTGGAGATCATTTCTCTGGATCTGCAACGCAAGAGGAATGTGCACAAACCAGTCTTCCATTACAAATACAACCCCCTCCTCCACCCCCACCCCCACCCCCACCAGTTGTCCCTCCAGCTGCACCTCCACTAGCATTCCTCAAAAATAAACAGGTACATTAATTTTCAAAAATAATTAATAAAGATTGATATTAATAAAATTCAATTCAGTAATGGCTGCATGGTTAAATGGCATCAATTAGTATAATGCTGCAGTAGACCCAGCAATGGGCAAGGTTAAGTACCCCTTCCAGGAGAGAGTAGACAGTACAAGTCATAGAGAGCACACAGACAGTACACTGAGAGGGGGTCAAAAAAATATTGGCATAGTGCAGCCTCCCCGCCCCCACCCCACTGATTGAAACATTTGCTCTAAAGACGATTGGTTTATTTATTTTAATTTTTTTTTTCAAAAACAGGCAAGAAAAAAAGGGGGGATCAGACCCCCATAAATCTACCCCTGGTAGACACGTAGCACAGAAATTGGCAAGGATGAGCTTCAGTGGTATGGGTTACTTTAGGCCCAATGAAGCCTTGTTGATGCAGGGAAAGTCAGCAATCCTTATGTCCGAGTATATAATAATTACCTCTGCAATCATGTTGTAAAGTGAACTGTTTTATCATGTCTGGTTTTCAGACAAGATCTAAAGCCACTGATTCAAAGGAAAACAAAAACAAAACATCAAGAACATTAGTGACCCTGGAGGACCTGAAGAAAGTCAAGCTGCGAAAAGTGAAACAAGCCATAGAGAAGGACAAGGAAAATGCTGCACCTGAGTTTGAGACAACAAGCTATAAATTGCAATCTGCAAAGCCTTCACCAAACAAGCTTAATCAAAGAAATGATGTGCAGTGCATTGTTTCTTTGAGGGAGATAAAGAATGTGACATTAAAAAGAACAAAGAGGGAAACTGAGATGGAAAAAATAAAATTACGGTAAAAAAATTGTGACCTTTTATAATTTATTATTTATGGATTTATTAAGATCATTCAATCACAAGTGCATATTAGTAATAATAATTTGCCTGCATATTTTTTCTTAATCACGATGCCTCATCTATATGTACATGATTACATTGCTCAAAAATGAGAAAAATACATGCAATAATTTCTATGGAAATGATCAGAAGCATATCACCTAGGTGATATGCTTCTGAAACGATAGATTGGAGATGCCTGTACATGGGCTACTGTTGGTATTTTTATAATTTCTTTTCAAATAACAATTTATTGTTTATTCAATATTGAATGTCCAGAAATCCTGAAGAAATGGTGGTCACGAGACAAAACCTACGCAAAGTGAATATCACCCGCAGTCCTGGCGGAACTCCTCTACTGTCTGGTAAGAGCTGTGAACATGGAACTGGCCTGACCCCGATGATGACTAGAGCACTCAGAAGAAAATTCCAGGTATAACTTGTACATGAAGTAAAACAATCTTGTAAGTTAGTTTCCTTTACACTTTTGACTCAGGTTAGCTGTGTCCAGAGGTTTCATTGATATTTTCAGCAGGAGAGCACCCGGTTTTCACAGGCAGGCAAAACTATTTGAACCGAGCTTCTTCATTAATTTGAAAAACTTTCCAGTAGATGGTCAAACCAGGTGGGCAAAATTGCCCCCACAGCTAGTTAATTTGCCTGGTGTATGGCCCTTAAAAATTAATAATTTAAAACTCCTGTGCATCATCATCTTATTTAAAGTTTTAACATTTCATAATGTAAAAAAGTATGGAATAATAATACAGCTGTGTGCTACTTCATATGTAGGTATAAGGATGATCCCAGTCCAATAATTTATTTAACTAAAGCCATTTCAAAAGGAGTCCTACTAAAACAGAACCTTTCATATGGAAGTAAGCTTGATTTGTAAGACAGACTATGAATCTACCTGTTCAAAAATGTTTTAAAAAAATTATGTTTTCCCCCATGAAAGGTTGTGTATCAAGACTCGTTTTGAAAAAGGAAATTCAATCGAAGAAAAGAGAGAACTTAAAAATTGCCAGCAGGTGACAAAAGTTATTTAAAGAAAATTTCCACATTCACCATAAGATTTGGAGTGGCCCATAAAGTCACTGACTTTGATCTCACTGGCACATTTTACAAGTATGTGTGATTATTTTCTTTTTGAAGGTAATATCTTATGTACGACTATTTTTTTTATCTTTTTATAGCATGCACACCCTTATTCTTCACCAGATTCACCAACAGGAAAACACAAGAGACAGGTGGTACATGTAGCTTTATCGGATCATGTATCTTATGGGAGGCTTCTACCAATAAATCGATTGATATATCAGTCTTTACTCAACCAAGTATTGGTCAATACTCGATCAACCAACCGACCGACTCTTGATCGATACGTGGTTGAGTATCTACCGAGACTTGACCATCAGTCGACCGATATATAACATTAACTGGGCTATCGGTCAGTACTCAACCAAGTCTTGGTCAATATATCGACTGATGCTTGATCAAGTATTGCCTGATACTTGGTCAAATATTGACCGATGTATTGATTGATATATCAACTGATATTTTGACCCCCGATAAGATACGTGATCTGCTTTATCTACAATGTCAGGATAATCTGACTATTGTTAGGCTTTTTTGATTAAAATTGAAAACACTGGATTATCTAATTAAAAATATTATTAATAATTCAAGTAATGTTTTCTAACGTAATCATTATCTACATGTATAAAAAAAATTGTCAATTTTTTTCTTGTAATGCAACAAATGATTATTTTAATACAGTCAAACCTGTATATAACTACCCTGTTTTAAGCTGCCACCCTCTATTAAGCAGCCAGTTTTCAAAGTCCCAATTTTTTGCGCATACTTACGCTGTATTTGTTGCCTGTATTAGGCAGCCACCTCTATTAAGCGGCCACAATCACCCTGTAGCAGTCCTGTTTGACTTTCATTGTTATTTTTACCTGTATTAAGTGGCCACCCTAAATGTAACATCTATGAAATGACAGAATGAGATGTTTTTGTTGTGAACTAAAAGACAGAAATACAGTACTGTATACCATAGAAGAGTAGAGGACAATTTATTGGCAGCACAGTATGTTTACACAATATTACATATATTATACCGTTAAGTGACAATTAAGTTGGCTCTGAACCTTGTTTAAAGTATTGATCGCTTGAAAGAGCGTTGATTGTCCTATTGTTTCCTAACATGATGTTTTTGAAGATACGCCGTTAAAATTGACATTAGACCACACCCGCCCAGTGAGTATTTTTAGTGATCTGGCCACCTGTAGTGAGCAGCCATTTCCTTAAGTCCCAAGGGTGTCTGTTATATACAGGCCTGTATTTATGTCAAGACTTACAAGTACATTTTGAAATCTGATTGTAATACTGTGTTTTAACATTATTTGTCTTTTATTTCAGAGTTTATCTCCAATGGCTGTTTCCCCAAGCACTCCAAGTCCTTTGTTAATTAGATAACCAAATTTTAATTTTCAGAACAAAAACAAGCAATGGAAGCAATTTCAGCTGTAGAATGTGAATTCGTTATTAATAGTTCATTTTAATGTTTTTAAAAAAGAAGTTTTGAAAAACAAAATTTTCAAATTTAACTGTCAGTAACAACTGGAATTTTTTGAAAAGTGACTAATCATTTTTTTAGATCATTTTATTTACAAGTTTTGATAATCAACTGGCAAATTAAGTGGAACTGATATATTTTGATATAAATATTCTTTTATGACTAAGGGTAATTAGGAATTAAATTCAAAAGTTGATTTCATTGGCTCAGACAAGGTCAATGAAAGTGACAATACATGTCATACATATTATAATTATTATTATGATCCAGTAGCCTTATATAAAATTATATTAAAGGAAAGAATAGCTAATAATAGCAGAGAGCTGAGACTTGAAAATGTGTAATGAGATTTTTACAAATTTGTGGAATTTTGAAGTCAATACTTTCAGTTTTTTGAAGTTTCTGTGAAATATTGAACATTTAATCACAGCATTAACACTGTTAGATCACCTGGGGTGTGTTCCTTTGGGATGATCAGGATAAAGATCAGTGATCCAGGATCACTCAGATCATGGTGTATTAAAGGAAACAATGAATCTGTGACCCAAGTGGATTAATCAGATCCTTCGATGTATCTTGGATCACTGATCCAGATCACCCCAAAGAAATGCACCCTAATGCTTTGGCCATAAGCATCGAGTCCACTCATATTGGCTTAATAATAATAATTATAATATTATTAATGTTATCTTGGTTATCTTCCTGGATTTTGCAAGAGGGAATGTATATAAAACTCCCAAAATAACCCTAGAAATACTAGGATTCTCAATAAATTTCTCTTTGTTTAGCTTGCATCTTCAATTTCTTTTAAACCTCCTCCCTTAGCCTGAAATGTTAGTGATCTTGTTCTTCAGCCTTTAATACCTCAGGTGAGGATAACCACAGCCTTCAAGTCAATATAATATTAGTGCTAAACTTCACTGTTGGCCAATATCAAAAGTATCAAAGAGATGTACTATGTGCAACAGTACAAGTATTTGTTTATGACCCATCAAATATTTTCACTTGCACATGATTGGTCTAAAAACAATAGCTTCCATTTGGCACCAAAATGTGCTTGGATGTTTGTACATCATCTGTTCCTCAAAGCTCACAGTTTTCCTTGAACTGCGCTCTTTGAGCTGTTCGCTTCTCAGAATATCTTATGTCCACTGACAAATATATGAGCATATTTTCGTACCACATTTTCGAGGCTATTGTTTATATAGTCTGTGAACAGGCTGCAGCTGGAAGGGCTGAGAAGAAACTGACTGATGGGGTGGGAGTTGGGGTGTCGGAGGCTCTCCCCACCTCTCTTCTATCCTTTTTTTGCCCACTTTCTCTTCACCCCATCCTCGACTAGAGAGCACAGGCTATTATTCATAGTGCTTTAGATGCGTTGAAAGCTTATATGCAGTGATGGCTAACATGCCTTGAACACGCATTGCATGCCTATATAAAAGACAATAATTTGAATGTATAAATTGTCCGAATGATGCAACTTGTTGAAGCAACAGAATAAGAGAGCTTGATGTACTGGTAACAATACAGCTTGTTGGACATATTTGTTCCTTATTGTGGTGCAACAAGAATATTTTAGCTTTGGCCGGGAAGAATTCAGTTGCCGACAACCTGGAACGGGATACCTTGGCCAGGAGAAACTGGGACCAAAATTAAGATGGCGGTTCGTGCGTTCAGTTGCAGTAAGAGGATGAAACGAGAATATTTCAATGTTTTTAACCAATTAAGCGGACGACTGTTTACAACAAAGATCTCAGAAAAATGTGCTGGAGATGTCAAATGTTCTCAACTGCGAAAAAGAGGGCTGTTAAAAGTAAAGGGAAGGGATACCGTCAAGTTTTTACAAGGACTGGTCACAAACGATGTGGAGTCCTTCCACAATGAGGAAAGAAAAACGTTGTATGCTATGTTCTTGAACGCTAGTGGGCGTACATTATACGATGTCGTCTTCTACAAGCATGATAACAGCGGGGATGTTCCGGCCTTTTTTCTGGAGTGTGATTTGAACGCAATACCTGACTTGACGAAGCATTTGAAGATGTTTAAACTTCGAGCTAAAGTGGACATTTTTCACGCTGAAGATTATCAGCCCTGGGTGATGTTCTCAACTTCAGGGGCAGTGGATATAAAGAATGCTTCCAGCGGTTCTGATATTTGCGTGTTTGAGCAGGATCCTAGGCTTGAGCAGCTAGGATTTCGCATGGTGTTGCCGAAGGGTTCAAGTCCGTGTGTTTGTTTCGAAGATGTCTATGAGACAGGGGATACATTCGAGTATGATGTGCATAGAGCCAAGCTGGGAGTGTGCGAGGGTGTGGATGAAATACCGCCTGGCAATGCGATGCCACTGGAATATAACATTGCCTATCTTAATGGAGGTATATGTCACATTCATCACATACACCAGCTAGATACATGTATAATTTTTTAACCCTAACTTCCCACTCCCCTTTTAACCAGGGCCAAGCTGGGTGTGTGCAAGCGTGTGGTGAAACAGAGGGCCCAACATGGGTTTGTGATGCGGGATGAGAGTAAAAATGAAGACAGGATACAGAATGACTGAAATTTTAATGGTGGGATGCGGGATAAAAAATGTTTCAGCAGGAATGGGATTTGCTCATTTTTAACAAATGGGATGTTTTAAAATTCGCGATGGGATTTGATAAGTTACAAGTTACAAACGTTACATGGAGAACTGCGACTGTAACTAGACGGGATTGAAATATAATATTCTGACTGGGGCGGGATGGCGGGATCAAGACAAAAAATAAATATTAGTGGGATACGGGATTGAAAAAAGCTATGTTGGACCCTCGGAATACTGCTAGTCTGCAAGTACACTGTGCACAACATTTATGGCAGTTTTTTCCATTGGAGAAAGTTTCTTGCAATTTGTCTCATAAATTTGACACTGTTACCAGAAGTTCTACAAAGCAATTCTTCAGATTCTGAGAGTAACCCTTTCCCCATTCCCTTCTACCAAAATCAGGACTTTAACATGCAACACAATTGCTGCAATATTTTTAACATCTTAGAGATGTGTCGCAGTTGTTACTCTAGGTAGCAATGCAACTGTGTCCCAACAAAAATATTGAGACCAGTTGCTCAGACTTAGTGCCTTTCCAGAGGCAGTTGCTGACTTGTAAAATGATTACTCTGATGTATGATAAGGATGATTTTTGTACACTTCCAACGTTTTGTCAGAAGCGTGATGTTTTGGGAAACTTTCTAAAAATACTTCTACAGGTCGTATTCAATATGAGAGTGATCATACATGGAGCATCTTATTTTAAATTCACAAGCCATCTAAATCATTTTTTAAATTATTGCATTATCAGCAACTTGATTGCAATGCTCAATCAACATAACCTTATAATTCTCTGGCATATTTGTTAAAAAATAGTAGTCTCTGTATCCAAATTTTGACATGAATGCAAATTTTGGTTTAAATTTGGTGTTGGATTTTTTTCCCTTTGTTTCAGTTTGTGATAATAGATGAGACCAAGAATAATAGAAATTAAGTTTCAGAAATAGTAATAGGTTTCCTACATTTCCCTACTCCAGGGTTCTCCCAAAAATTTCAAATAGCCGGAGAAAAATTTCAAGTAGCCAGCGATAATGTCTTTCCTAAAGTTGCCAAGGCAACCCCAAAAAACGTATGTATATTTTCCCTGAGTAGCCGGTGTGCCCAGGTCAAGTAGATGGCAATTTTTGTCAGTTGCAGGAGCTTGTGGAGAACCCTGCCACTCCATAACCAGCTCAAATCTGAGAAGAAGGATTTTTTTTTGGGGGGGGGTGAAAGAATAATTTTGAAATACACAAAACAGGACATTTACATGTATGTCAATAGACTAACCCTGAATTCAACTTTTTTGCAAGTTTGATATCTATTTTCATAGAGAGTAATAAACATTTTTTTCGTACAGTTTCATTTCATAAAGGTTGCTACCTTGGACAAGAATTAATAGCCAGAACACACCATACTGGTGTCATAAGAAAACGAACAGTACCATTTAAGTTGATGGACCATAAAGCTGATTCAAGTCACTTTGAAGCAGATTCAAGGGTAAGGAATTCAAAGGGAAAAGCTGCCGGCAAGGTTTGTACAATTTATGGTCAGTATGGTGTGGGCCTGATGAGGCTGGAGATGTTAAAAAAAGAGGAGGGACTTTTTATAAAGAATAAGGAGGACAAGGACATTGAGATTGTAGCATTAATACCATCTTGGTGGCCTGAAGAGGGTCATGACTCTACATGAAGAGCTGTGGTAGATCTACAATGCAGTGGGAGAGAGTCATATTGAGAAATGTGTAATAGAGGTATCTAAAAGATGTTTTTAACATTTAAAACACTTAATTGTCAATAGAGCAGTGCTATTTACCAAGTTAGTAGGAAACAGCTGAGATGAGAAATAGATTAAGAGTGAACAGTTTTCCAATAAGCAGACATCATTTCAAAATTTACTGATTTACATGTACCTCAGTCCCTTTTAAAGTGTCTGCTTCTAGTGTGAATCTAGACAGATCATGTTCTCTGTTCTTGCCTGATCACAAGTTAGTGTGGATCTGGCCCTCTGCAAATTTCCCAGATTACATCTTAGATCTATCCCAGAAGACTTAAAACATGTAGAAGACTCAGAAATTTTGGGGTGTGTTGAATTCAAGTACAAGAGTTCTTACAGGGTTAGCACCTAAGCACCTAAAGTTTCTCGGGCAGTTGGTACGGTTCAATCAGTCATTGATTAATCTGAATCATTTGCCCAGTTGTGGCACCTTTTAATTTACAGTTTTACACAAGATTTANTTCAGTTTAGCTTCTCCAGTAGCTCCAGTTACCTTGAGTCCCATTTTGGTCATATCTTTGGGAGAAAGACTTGAACTAGAGGAACATTGTTCAAGAAAATCATTTGTGAAAAATCAAAGTTTAACATAGTAAGATTATTTGCAGTAACAAAATTATCGAATTGTTTGGTTTCCTTAGATAATGTTTTTAGTACTATTGAAATAATTATGCAAAACTTAGCCACACACATAACCCACACACAATCATGTGGGACACTAACTTTACTTACTATTAATAATTATTTCCTCATATGGTGTGCTGAAACACTTCAGCCAATCACGGAATTGTAAGGCCCTGGGATACACATACATCTGGTACACACTACTGGGATATACAACAGATGCCTTGTGCCATAATAAAAATTATTAAATTTAGAGGAAAAGGCACAGTCAGCCTTCCCTGTCTTCATTCGGGTCATCTATCCTGGTCAAATTGGAATCTAAAAATGTTGGTTTTTCATTATGTCGCTCTGTTGTGAATGTTATATCAGTGAATAGAAGATTAAATGTATTGCTTTCTATTGGTGTGTTGTGAAGACCACTTTCTGGTAACTTAATTTTCAATAATTGTTTTTTTTTTTTATGTATTACTGATATGCACTTGCAGCAAACCATACAATTCTGCCTGTTTCTGCACCTAAAAATAACACTTAAACATTATTTTCACCTGTTTTTGTTTTTCTTGAAGTGATGAAACAGAACTTCATAAACCTAAAACAACAGATAATTACATACTTGTATGTTAGCCTATGCCAACAACTGATGACTGAATAACATTAACAAAATTTGAAAAAAAATATGAAACAAACAGCACAAAACATCCAGCATGTTGTGTCTGCCATCAAGACAATTTCAACAATTACTTCCTTTTCCAGGAAGCTAAATGTACAACACCTGAGATTTTCTTTATGATCTTAACTGCAGTCAAGTAACCATTGTGATGGTAATGATTGTAATGGTGATCGCAGCTCCATTGCAAACACAGTTGTAAGCGTGCGTGTATCAAACACATGTAAGTAACAAGAGGTTAAGAATTTCACTATAAATTTTCACAGAAATTAGATCACTGACAAATGTGGAGGATAGGAAACTACAGGTTAAGACTTCCAAGTAATAAGTTTTCACAGACTGAAATTAAACCAAAACATTAAATGTGAATTTATTTAAGGACCAAATCAGACTATAGGGGATTTGTTTTCAGTGGCTGTGAGAAAGCGAGGTAACCAGAAATTTTGATTACCCTTGTAAAGTTTCAGATAATTATTTAATTTTTAGTTTTCTTATAAGCACTTTCTGTTATAAGTATTGATTTTTAACTGCTGTCTATCTTCAGTCATACAGTATGTAGCGGAGCTCCTGTGCGGCGAAGGCGTGTGAGCAGAGCCCCCTACTGTACCTGAAAATTGTAACCCATTGATCTCAAAAGTTTTGGTTGTCATGTGACTGTTTCATGTCTGGACTCATATCTTGAAACATAAGAGAGAAGTACCATCACCATAGGTACATCTTTGATATTGGACATCCATGTGATGCTAACTATTAATTGACAGCTGTCAAACCAAGGTCTCTGCTGACCAGTATCACAGACCATATTGCAGGCTCAGGTTTAGAGGTCATCGAGATCGTGGTTTTTTTTAAGTTAACTGCTGACCAGGTACTGGTTTTCGATTGGATTGGCTTAAGCCAGGTTAATACTCTGGGGTGAAGGAGGAAGTATATGCAAAGGCAAAATTTGGGCACAAATTAACCCCTGGTGTGTTTTTTACTTTTCCTCTGACATATTCCGTGGACAGTCATCTCTTGGAAAGTCCCTGATATATTGAGTACGTAATTTCCACAATCTTGGAAAAATTAGGCACGCTTATTGGACATAGTTTGTAAAAATTTAACTGGAAAAAATAGTGAAACCACGTGCTGAACAATTACCTGCTCACAATTGATCATTTTTTGAGTTTCTGATCCAGGTCAAACAAATTAGGACTCTTTTTCCTTTATGGTTAACTAACTGCAACCAGGAGTTCCACTTTCAGGCTTGGCTAAATCTATATATTACATGAATCTTGAAGACATGATTGATCATCACACTTATACACACAACGCAGTTGTAAAATTTAAGCCTCATTTTATTTTTCAGGCTAAAATTTCACAACTGCTTAAGTTGTGTGTGTAACTGCAATCATGATCAATCATGTCTTCATGTCTCTTTCTGCAGTTCAAATATATGATCTTTCATATATTCACTTGTATACATGTACCTTGTTAACATCATGAAGTTTCGCCCGTCCCCTTACTAGCTTGGACACTGTCAAAAACTCTTTTTCATTGATAGGAAGAAGTTCTTTTGTTCCTCTACAAATGGGTTTGTTAGCAGCTTCTGAAAGGAAAATAGTCAATGTGTCAATCTTCAAGGCAACAATTTTTGTCAATAGCTTGTTGCATTATTTTCTTCTAGTGCCATAATTATAATCATTTGACCCCTCAAGCTGGTTTTGGCATATAACAATTATTACTATTGATTCAAGGCATCTGTTGAAATGGCTTTTTTACAGGCAGTTGCACACATCATTCGTTTCAGCTGCGAATTCAAAAAAAGTGATCATATGGTGACAAACATCTCTTGGCTACAGGACCCTAGAGTTTGTAGAACAGCGGTTGCAATTAAAAGTACCGAGTTTGATGCAAATCTTATCCATGCAATGGGTTTTTCATGAATCTGTCAAACTCTTCTCGGTCACATAACATGAATTGTATTTTGCTAGACAGTGCAAAACACAACAAACTTGCAAACAAATTGTGAAGCACCTTCCCTGATGGCAGGAAAGATTCACTCATTACACAATCATGAAATTTGTGATCGCATGATCTCACTTTTTGAATCTGCGAATGAAATCAAATAATGTTATGTGCAGCAGCCTGAAAAAAAGCCATTTCAACAGACATCTGGGATCAATACCAACAACTGTTATTAATTTTACTGATTAGTTTAATAAATAGTAAAAATAATAATAAAATTAAAAATATTATATCAGTAAAATTAATGATAATAAATCAAACAATATTTATTTTAGTACTAATTTTATCAAATTGCTGAAAATCAAAATTAGTTGAGGGATTGCCTCTGAGGAAGTTTCACAGGTAAGAAGTTTAACTTCTAGTTAACAGCTTACTGCAGTAAGCTACAATTTCCTCACAGAATGTGCTCTGTTATACATGTACAAGCAAATTCATATTCTAAGAAGCTTGTTGGGTTGCCAATGAAATGAGGAATAAATGTTTGCAGAATTCCACAATTATTCCATCCAAGCCTAATAAATGCAAAGCAGTTTCATGAAGAATGAACTAAAACATGCTTTCTAATTGATTTTTTTCCCCTATATTTATTTATCCATAGAATTTTCTCATTTTTGCCTGGAAGTCTAGGAAAGTCACAAACTTCCTTGCAACACACTTGCATTACTTCACTTCTTTCGACGTTCTGACTTGTACCTTGTTGTTGTATGCTCTCTGTTCTAACAGACTTGTTTTCTTTGTCATCTTCATCACTGCTCTGTTCTGAACTGGATGTTTCTTGATTGGGCGACAAAAGAAAATTTTACCATTATCAGTCAGTAGTATAATAATCAGGAATCATGAAAATATTTAACTACTATTAAATAAAATTATGGAAGAGATATTATTAATTACAGGTCATGTTGATTTAACTTACCTATTCTTAAACAGTTCACTGATGCTCGTAAAAATAGTTCATCATCATTTTTGTCTGATACCTTTTGGGGGAAAATGATATTTTTCAATAACATTGAATTGTATCTTTCACATCACTTCTTGTAAGTCAACCGGGTAAATGATGTTTGTTGGACTAAAGCTTCTTTTACTTTAAGTTTAACTTAAGTTACTCATATGTTGATAATAGGGTCTGTCACTTGGAAGTAGTGTGTATCTCTCTGTGATTTACAACTGACTTGCAGAACTTGGAAATAACTAAACATTGCTAAAGAGGTGCTCAATATACAGGACTGGTGTACGTATAACTTTACTTGTAGTTTCAAGTAACAGTATTGAAAGCTCTCATTTGGTATTAAACTATTACAGTAACTATTCACATAGCTTTTGCAGGTTCAGTTAAATATGAAATCAAATCTTCCCTTTACTTGAGATAAGATGAGTTTTTAATGAGAATTTTATACTTACCATAAGTCCTGCACATTTTTGTGAGTGACGTAAAAGATTTTGACAGGCCAGCATCTGATTCCCGAGTGCATCCTGTATTTCCTGATTTTATACAAGGTAAAATACATGTACCACTGAGAAAAGAAACTGATGCAATAGGCATGTAATTTATCATATAGAGAGGAGTGTCTTACTGGAAAATAGACCACTCATAAAATTCATATGAAACAACATCTGGGACCCAAGTGGCGTATTTTCCATATCCTCACCTGTCCAGTGAAGATATTCATAAAGTTATTTCTCATTTTTTCATGGTTGCTTGTGCAAACAGTCACGTGGTGGCTTGAAGATATGAATTTTATTTTCTCATCTTAAAAACAATATTTTTAATAACTGCTGTGCTTGTTCATAAAATATTGTTTTAACCACTCGAAAATAAAATTCACATCTTAGCCCCACCATGTATAGGCTGTGAACACTGAATGACAGCCAGAAATATGTCTGCGTTCGCAGGCCACACCATGTCATCTCCTCTACAATGTATGTATAATTATTAGCTAATAGATAGCTTCCAAAAGGAGGCAGTTAGTCATGGTTCCAGCCATACATGTAGAATTTAAGTGTACACATTCTCTGGCCCTGAGGCATTTGCTTATCAGAGGTTTGACTGTTATTATATTATTATTTGTAATCTTTAAAAAAGATACAGTTTTCAACAATATTCTCTAATTAACAATTAGATTATTCACTCTCGATTTCTATGTTCAACTAGTTCAACTAGTTGATGAGGCCGAAGGCCGAATCAACTATCAACTTGGCCAAAGGCCAAATCAACTATCACCTCATAGAAATCGAGAGCAAACAATCTAATTATTGTTTTAGTAGAATTCTAACTGAAATTTACTTAAAATAATGGTTTCCAAGAACTTCTTGACATACTATTAAACTTTGTGCCTCAGAAAGATCGCTCGGATTGAATTGTCATTTGAAATTGAGGTTGTGTGCATGTACTCATCACTTTTTTCAATAATTTCAAGATTTTAAAGTCAAGAAACCGTTAATGTTTTTCTTTTAGTCTTCTCAGGAATTAATTTATCCATTTGCATCAAAATGTTCCTTCACAACTGTTAAAATGAGAAAAATGTCGCCATTTCGTAGAAGACCTCCGGCCACTGCACTCTAATAAACAATTAGACCCGTAGCCCTTGCAGGCTACGGGTCAATAGCCCATGAGGCGAAGCCGAATGGGCTATTGACCCGTGGCCCTTGAGGGNAATTTCGCTACTCGAGGACTATTACTAATAGTCCTCTAGTAGCATAGCCAATCAAAATGCAGGATTTGCATTAGTCCTCTAGTTGGGTGATACTAATGGCTGATAGTATATGAGTAGCTCAGCCAATCAGATTGCAGCATTTGCATTAGTATACTAGTAGAACTCTACTAATGAAAAATATCTGTGGAAGAAGACTACACTGATTAATGTTCCTGGATTATTTTTACAAGAGAACCTCACCTTATTTTTTTTTTTCTGTTAGAACCTTGCACTATTATAATAATTTTAAGATGAAGCTGAAACTCAGAAGGTCATTTTTAATTTACAAACCCATTAATAAATAAATACAACACATCCTCAGACAGAAACATCAATTACCAGTACACCAATATCAGCTGTAACATGAACCCCAGAATAGAAAGGGAGACAGAGGTCAAAGACAACATCAGTGGATGGTTGATAGCAAAAGAATGAGCACAGACAATAATAATTATTGATTAAATGATAAGAAGGGATTTTTCCATTGACATTATTTTTACTTGTATTTCAAGTGGCAAGACTGGTCAGTGCCATGGACTGCCTGTCTATAATAATTACTGAGTTTCCATAATCTACAAATAAAACTGCTTATATTTCTCATGCCTACCTGCTGTTGGGATTGTATCCAGGTGGCTTGTCCAGAGAGATGTTTAAATCTTGTTTTGGCTTGGTTTATTCTCTGTAAGATCTTTACGGGATTCAGCTAAATGTTCACAGGGCAGAATTAAACAGAACTGAATTTAATAACATGTTAATATATTTTTCTAAAGGAACAATTACACATGATTGCTATAAAATTATTTAGTACATAATATGATGTGCAAGAGCATCATGTTCCTCAAATTATACCTTTCAATGTGAAAAAAATTTCCACGACCTGGACTGACTGTTCCTATATATTTACCCATATGTCTGGGACAACAAAAAGTAAATGTAATAGTGGTATTAACCAAGTAGTAGCAAATTGATAACAACAATATCCGACTGGCAAGTCTTGACATCATTTTTATCTTCATAGGTGTTATCATTATTCATGTTAGTTTTGTTCCTTTAACCTCATTTCAATTTGTTGGTGTAAACTGCATTCATGATTGAAACATCTTCGCATCTTCTTTAGAGGACTTTTGCAATCTTCAGTTATCTTCAGAAATTTTCAGAAAATGTTTGGAAAATATTCAGAAACGTTTGTCTGGCCTTTGAACAACTTTGAAGAACCTTTGGAAATCTTTAGAAAGTGGTCAAAATCACCTAAAACATGTTATGTATTGTGAGAATTTTATATAATAAAAAGAAAATTACATGGTTGCTTGGAGATACAAAATTTCTCTTCTCATGTTGAAAAATATTTTTATTACTCGAAGAGAAATTTCGTACATCAGGGTAGCTATGTAATATCCTCTATAGTTGAAGTCTATACAGGCTTTTAGCCAGATGGGTGCTTTTAGCCAGATCGGTTTTTTTTTTTTTTCGCTCATTTGAGCTGAGGCCCTTTATAACATTTTGGACAGCCACTTTTCAAAGTATTACGCACCAAGAGCCTGTCTTTAAAGCCCGTACCTTATGACATAGGACGTCAAACAATGTTTCTTTGAATCTAGTATAGTATGCTTACAATTTTAAAGTTTTAAAACTGGAAACAGGATTCAAGTTGACACAAAAACAAGGGTATAGGCATTAAGCATACTACAACAGAAACATTTCAAGACAATTCAAATTAATGACAAACCTGTTCCTGGCCATTTTCTGCAAACTGCTGTGAAAACTCTGTTTCTAGTCTAAGAGAGATGTAGTTGAGATCTGAGTCAGCCTTCTGAAACTGTTTAGAAAGAAATTAGATAATGATGTTGGACAATTATTATCACAATAGCTTACACTGTCCACCTGTATACATTCTACTCACAACCCTTGGTACATGATGTGCTCAAAAAATACAAGTCTCCCTACTGATAATAGGAGTGACAAAATTAATGCTAAATTCAAGACTTGCTGTGATGCCAAAACCTTTGTTTCAAAATCCAAGACTGACACTTAAACGGTATTATTCTCTTAAATGAATTAAACACATAAAAGCAAGACTCAATGGGAGTCATTGTGGACATAGAGGTTTTCAAGATTTCAAGATCAAAACAAAAGCTTCAAAGACCCAAGAGTTTAAAACATAAAATCCTAGGTGTCTTTTAGGTAGTCCTTCACATAAGCCTTATAGCTGGCTTCCCTAGGCTTCCTTGCCTTATACATTTGATATGTTGTAAATATATTACTTTATAAATGGAAAAATAAAACAAGAACATGAACAAACTGACTCTGCATCAGACCGAGTGACTCATAGGTACATGAACCAGAGTCTTAAGCATGAAATAATAGGCCTTATCACGGTTTTCGACACCATCTTGACGGGTAGGCAAAGCAGTCAGAAATTACAGTGTTTGTATGGGAATCCAATGGCAAATAACTTTTTCCAAAATTGATACATTTGTCTGTAAAATTTGGCTGGGTAGAAGGATGTCTAGACGCGTTTCGCAGGAAAAAAAACAGACAAATGTATGGAAAATTAGAAAAATTAACTGAGCATCTTCTAACCAAGCGACATCCTTCAAACTTGGTGAATACAATCTTCTACCTAGTATTTCAATGTTTTGATTCACAAATTGGCTGGGTAGATGGACGTCTAGAGGTGGTTCGTGGGGAAAAAAATACAGACAAATGAATGGAAAATTAGAAAAATTAACCAAGCATGTTCTAACCAAGCTAACTCCTTCAAACTTAGTGAATACAATCTTCTACCTAGTATTTTAACATTTTGATTCACAAATTGTGTAAATTTTAATTTTGGAAAAAGTTATTTGCCACTGTAATCCCTAACTGCTTTGCCTACCCGTCAAGATGGCGTCGAAAACCGTGATAAGGTCTATTAGTTTGGAGTGTTTCTACTCCACCATTACATCAAGTGACAAAGCTCAAATGTCTGTGCGGTACCAAGACTTAGCTTATACTTAACTAATAGGTAACCTTATACAAGTACGACATTCATGAGTGTAGAAATTTTTCAGCTGAAATCTCTTTACATCCTCTCAAACCTGCCGTAGACACTATTTCAACAAATACATAGATTTCAGCAACTGTAACTTTCTAACACATACGTCACCCCGATCTCTACTTTCAGCGTAGCAACTGGATAAATATCATACGCTTATCGTCCTTATTGATCATGACTTTCAATTTTCGTATTTGGCGCCAAAAACAGCGACACTCGTGCTGGGGAAAAACGTTTCCATACGAGCAAAGAATTGAAAGAAAATATCACGGAAAACATGATGCACAGTACACATTATACGTCGATTTGATACACAAACAGTTCTAAAACGGCGACAAAAAGGAGGTTATAATTACCAAAGCTTCCAGTTTATCAACGGCAGGCTCCATGGCTGACATTTGGATTAAATTGATATGTTATGTAAAAAGCACGAAAAATAATACTAGCCCCAGGGCTCAGGAACGAATATAGGTCGGCAATGCGTACGTGTAGGAATGAGCAAAAAACTCGTACGATACGTGACACTGAAGAAAAGTCGGATATAAGGCTAAAATGCTCTGAAAAGTGTCAAATTTGTTCTGTTAAACTAAACTTTTCGGGCTTAGCCCTTCTTCAGTAGGTGGATTTAGCCACACCATACAAAAAACTGTACGCGTACGCACGCACGGAAAGGGCGCGCCTGAAGTACAAAGTAAACAAATAGGAAAACCATTGTTTTAGCCGGCGTAAGTGTAATACGCGCTAGACCCAAAGTCACAAAAAATTGAAGTTAATGTTCAGTCCGTTCGGTCGAAGCGTGCCCAGTTTGAAGATTAATCTCATTTCATGCTGCTAGCGGCTGATGTTACTGCAAAAGCACTGTTTCAAGCCACAGACCACGATGTTATCGAGAGAGTGGGAGACGGAGTTGAAATGTTCCGCGGCTACGGGAAACCCACGCGATCGGTTTCAAATGCTGCGGAGGTGCTCTCTGAAACGTTCCCGTAGTCGCCTTCCATTCTCTCCGATGTATAGACAATTGCAGCGACGACAAGAAATGCAACACACAACATTCTCAGACTGACAGGTGAAGTGGTCACGGATGTTCTGTGCGTTTTTCGTCCCTTGTAGAAAAGTGTGAGAAGTTATGTGCTTGCATGTCTGGCATCGAGGCCGTCGGCAGGGCAATAAACCGTGTGCTTGCACCCTCTATTGTTGAGATTTCAGGCGCCGCTCTCGTCCTTTTCATTTGATGTCGTTGGTAGAGTGCTTATAAGCTATTAGCGTTAAGTGGACTCCAAATATGCAACTAGACCCACCCACCCCCACTCCCTTCCCGACTTCCATATTGTAAGCCCTAACACCCGTTGAAACGTAAAATTCCTTGGGAATAATTTTAAACGTGGCTCGCTCCCCGATAAAGAACCACTTACCCCAGGAAAGAAAAATGCCACCCCAAAGGTGTTTTGGTTAAAAACAATTTTAGGGCTTTCTTAGCTGCTACAATTAAGTATTGAGAACAATTAACTGGAACTCATATATGGCATTGATGAAAAGAGAGAAGGTGTTCAAATAATGTGTGATAGTATTTTTTATTGTCTAGATGACTATTTTCCAGCTCCACTCAGCAGAGTTCAAATAACACATGTAACAAGCAGTAATAGAAATTTACAGTCTTGCATGCTACGCACTGTTGTCTAATACGATTTTATAGAATGATTGTTGTGATATTCACTGGCATGAGCAATAATTGTTCATATGTGCATGATAAACTAATTAAAATGCTTATAAGCAAAATGCGACACCGTTCCATACAAAAATGTATTACATTCTTCTACCATGCTTCTTCTAGCCATTGATCAGTAATATTAAATTCTTGGTGAACTTTCTCACTGTTACAGCTTGAAGAGTTGAAACTGTTCTTATCGGTAAAAATAATCAACGAGGCGAAAACATTGCACTGTGGCAAGATTTCACCGAAAGGCCATGAATTAATCGCCTTTTTCAGTCATTCTTTTCCAGTATACTTCGTTGTTGTTCCTGAAGGCCGTGAACATCCACCGCATACGAATCGAATTTGCTTGTAAATAAATAGCTGCACAGTAATGCTAGATTAGCAACGAATAGAGTTTATTTACTGAGCCGCTTAGACGTCGTCAAGAGTCCATGTCTTACTCTTCGTCAGAGACGCGGAGAACTGTGCAAGTCTTTTTATCCATGGCCCTAGCGGTACTGCTGTAGCTTTGGCCTTTCCTTCACACATTCGTTATCTTCACAGATTAGCCGAGCCTCGCTGCACGGACAATCGGCGTTTGTCAAGCAAGAACCCTTGAAGATTCCAGGACACTGAGAAATAAGAAATAGAAGTGTTAAAGAAAAGGAAGTACACGTAACTTTTGAGAACACCCTGCGATTTCACTTCCAAATAAGTGTCTAATTTGAATGGCTCAACTGTAAAAGCTGACGCCAAATTTAGCTAGACCCTTTTTTGGCTATGTACAGCTCATGGTACAATGTCAATATTTTAACTTACTGGTTGTCTGTTCATGATATCTGCCAGTTGATGTATCTCTTGTTTAGGTCTGTCCTTCACACATTCGTTATCTTCACAGATTAGCCGAGCTTCGCTGCATGGGCAATCAGCATTTGTCAAGCAAGAACTCTTGAAGATTCGGGGACACTGGAAAATAATGGATACAAATTAAGAGTGGTCATTTCAGTGAACAATAATTTCACCGCCAAAGACATGTCTACCAATAGCTGAGGGCCCCGTCCACCGTGACTACGCCAGAGAAATTTGAAAACGCAGCTTTATTTCTACGGTTAGGCCTAACGTCCACACTAATCCGTCACGAAAACAAAGCTTGTAAAAAACGTTCTCTAAAATGGGAGAATTTGAAAACGCCAGCTTTTCGTTTTCGTGTGGGCAGAAAACAGTTTGAGAACGGAGCTTTTCGGAAAAGATGGCGCCGCGATAATCGAGTGATTTCCCTGACCGAGTTTTCCTCAAACACAAATCCAAAATGACCGGTGTTTGTTGCGTTTTTAAATTCCTCCAGAGTAGTATGGGCGGAAAACATTTGATGGGTTTCAGAGTGAAACCTCTGTTTCAAATTCCTCCGGCGGTAGCGTGGACGTGATCTGAACCGTGAAAGCAGACGCCAAAGTTATTGAGATCAGTTACTAGCACATAATTAACTTACTGGTTGTCTGTTCATGATATCCGCCAGCTGATGCTTGGGTCTGTACTTCACACATTCGTTATCTTCACAGATCAGCCGACCTTCGCTGCACGGACAATCAGCATTTGTCGAGCAAGAACTTTTGAAGATTCTGTGGCACTGGAAACGGATGGATACAAGAGTTTATGCACTCTGGTTGTTTCAGGGAAAATTAATATAACTACCTAAAGATCTTTACTGAATGGTTTAACCTACAAACGTGTCGCCTAATTTAGACTCCCCCCAGGAGAATGGTCTTAAACCCTGACCGTATTTAAGGTTGAGGCAAAAAAATATCTGATGCCCTATTTAAGGCCCAAACCCGAAAAATGACACCCTATTGAGGGGAAAAACAGAAACTAAGAAAAGCGTGAACGAGCCAACTTTATTCCGTTTCTGTCAGGAGCCATAATCGGGGACGGAGACCGTAAGCGCGCGCCATTTCAAGTATTGGGGTTGTCCCCATGATATGGGACAATAATTCTATTTTTAGA